AAAAACTATAAGCTAACAAGCTGGTAAACCTAGAAGAAATGGACAACTTCCTAGAAAAATACAACCTTCCAAGACTGACCAAGGAGAAACAGAAAATCTAAGCAGACCAATTACCAGCAATGAAATGGAAGCGGTAATCAAAAAACTACCCAAGAGCAAAACTCCGGGGCCGGATGGATTGATTGTGGAGTTTTATCAGACATACAGAGAAGACATAATACCCATTCTCCTTAAAGTTTTCCAAAAAACGGAAGAGGAGGGAATACTCCCAAATTCATTCTATGAAGCCAACATCACTCTAAAACCAAAACCAGGCAACAACCACACAAAAAAAGAAAATTACAGACCAATATCCCTGACGAATATAGATGCAAAAATACTCAACAAAATATTAGCAAACCGAATTCAAAAATAAATCAAGAGGATCATACACCATGACCAAGTGGGATTCATCTCAGCGATGCAAGGATGGTACAACATTTGAAAATCCATCAACATCATCCACCACATCAACAAAAAGGATAAAGATCATACGATCATCTCCATAGACACTGCAAAAGCATTCAACAAAATTCAACATCCATTCATAATAAAAACTCTCAACAAAGTGGGTATAGAGGGCAAGTACCTCAACATAATAAAGGCCATATATGACAAACCCACAGCCAACATCATACTTAACAGCAAGAAGCTGAAAGCCTTTCCTCTAAGATTGGGAACAAGACAGGGATGCCCACTCTCCCCACTGTTATTATTGGAGGTCCTAGGCACAGCAATCAGACAAAACAAAGAAATACAAGGCATCCAGATTGGTAAAGAACAAATCAAACTGTCACTATCTACAGATGACATGATATTGTATATAAAAAAACCCTAAAGACTCCACTCCAAAACTACTACAACTAATACCTGAAATCAGCAAAGTTGCAGGATACAAAATTAATACACAGAAATCTGTTGCTTTCCTATACACTAATGATGAACTGGCAGAATGAGACATCAGGAAAACAATTCCATTCACAATTGCATCAACAAGAATAAAATACGCAGGAATAAACCTAACCAAGGAAGTGAAAGACCTATTACACCCTGAAAACTACAAGACAACCTCTTAAGAGAAAGTAAAGAGGAAACTAACAAATGGAAACTCATTCCATGCTCTTGGCTAGGAAGAATTAGTATTGTTGAAATGGCCATCCTGCCTAAAGCAATCTACAGATTCAATGCAATCCCTATCAAAATACCAACAGCATTCTTCAACGAACTGGAGCAAATATTTCTAAAATTCATATGGAACCACAAAAGACCCCGAATAGCCAAAGCAATCCTGAGAAGGAAGAACAAAGCAGGCTGGATCTCGCTTTCCAACTTCATGCTCCACTACAAACCCACAGTAATCAAGGCAATTTGGTACTGGCACAAGAACAGACCCACAGAACAGTGGAACACAATAGAGTCCAGGTATTAACCCAAACATACATGGTCAATTAATATACAATAAAGGAGCCATGGGCATACAATGGGGAAATGACAGCCTCTACCACAGCTGGTGTTGGCAAAACTGGACAGCTACATGTAAGAGAATGAAACTAGATGATTGTCTAACCCCATACACAAAAGTAAATTCAAAATGGATCAAACACCTGAATATAAGTCATGAAACCATAAAACTCTTAGAAAAAAACATAGGCAAAAATCTCTTGGACATAAATATGAGTGACTTCTTCACGAACCTATCTTCCCGGGCAAGGGAAACAAAAGCTAAAATGAACAAGTGGGACTATATCAAGCTGAAAGGCTTTTGTACAGCAAAGGACACCACCAATAGAACAAAAAGGCAGCCTACAGTATGGGAGAATATATTCATAAATGACAGATCCGATAAAGGGTTGACATCCAAAATATATAAAGAGCTCATGCACCTCACAAACAAAAAGCAAATAATCCCATTAAAAAATGGGAAGAGTAGCTGAACAGACACTTCTCCAAAGAAATTCAAGGAGGCCAACAGACATATGAAAAGATGCTCCACATCGCTAGTTATCAGAGAAATGCAAATTAAAACCACAATGAGGTATCACCTCACACCAGTAAGGATCACCACCATCCAAAAGACAAACAACAACAAATGTTGGTGAGGTTGTGGAGAAAGGGGAACCCTCCTACAGTGCTGATGGGAATGTAAGTTAGTTCAACCACTGTGGAAAGCAGTATGGAGGTTCCTCAAAAAGCTCAAAATAGAAATACCATTTGACCCAGGAATCCCACTTCTAGGAATTTACCAAGAATGCAGCAGCCCAGTTTGAAAAAGACAGATGCACCCCTATGTTTATCGCAGCACTATCTACAATAGCCAAGAATTGGAAGCAACCTAAATGTCCATCAGTAGATGAATGGATAAAGAAGATGTGGTACATATACACAATGGAATATTATTCAGCCATAAACAAATCCTACCATTTGCAACAACATGGATGGAGCTACAGGGTATTATGCTCAGTGAAATAAGCCAGGCAGAGAAAGACAAGTACCAAATGATTTTACTCATATGTGGAATATAAGAACAAAGGAAAAAATGAAGGAACAAAACAACAGTAGAATCACAGAACCCAAGAATGGACTAACAGTTACCAAGGGAAAGGGACTGGGGAAGATGGGTTGGAAGGGAGGGATAAGGGGAAAAAAGGGGGCATTACTATTAGCAGACATAATGTAGGGGGAATATGGGGAGAGCTGTACAACACAGAGAAGACAAGTAGTGATTCGATAGCATCTTACTATGTTGGACACGGACTGTAATGGGGTATGTGGGAGGGGCTCTGTCGATGGCAGAGTCTAGTAAACACAATGTTGCTCATGTAATTGTAGATTAATCATACAATAACAATAATAAAATAATAATAATGATAAATTTTAAAAAAAGATTATCATTTAAATTTGGAGGGATTACACAATTTCCAGATAAGCAAAAGCTGAGAGAATTTAGCTCCCACCAACCATCTCTACAGTGTATTTTGGAGGGACTGCTACAGATGGAAGTGTTCTTAAGGTTAAATAGCTGTCACCAGAGGTAACAACAATGGATAGACAGAGAGTACAGAATATGATACCTAATACATAAAAAATGAGGAGAAAAAAAAACAGCCTTTAGATTGTGTTTGTAAGAGCATACTTAAGTGAGTTAAGTTAGATTCTTAGGTAGTAAGGAAGGTACCCTTTAACCTTTGGTAACCACAAATCTAAAGCCTGCAACGGCAGTAAGTACATACCTATCGATAATCACCCTAAATGTAAATGGTCTGAATGCACCAATCAAAAGACAGAGAGTAACTGAATGGATTAAAAAAACAAGACCCATCTATATGCTGCCTAGAAGAGACTCAGTTCAAACCCAAAGACATACACAGACTAAAAGTGAAGGGATGGAAAAAGATACTTCAAGCAACTAATCGGGAGAAAAAATCAGGTGTTGCAGTACTTCTGTTTTGCAAACAAAATAGACTTTAAAACAAAGCAAGTCACAAGAGACAAAGGACATGACATAATGATACAGGGGTCAATCCAACAAGAGGATATAACCATTATAAATATCTATGCACCCAATACAGGAGCATCTAAATATGTGAAACAAATACTAACAGAATTAAAAGGGGAAATAGAATGCAATGCATTCGGTTCAGGAGACTTCAACACCCACTCACTCCAAAGAAGAGATGAACCAGAGAGAAAAAAAGGAGACAGAGGCATTGAACAACACAGTAGAACAGATGGATCTAACAGACATCTACAGAACTCTGCCCCCCAAAAGCAGCAGGATACACATTCTTCTCAAGTGCACATGGAACATTTTCAAGAATAGATCATATACTAGGGCACAAAAATAGCCTCAGTAAATTCAAAAAGACTGAAATTATACCAACCAACATCTCAGATTACAAGGGTATGAAACCACAAATAAATTACACAAAGATGACGAAAAAGCCTACAATCACATGGAGGCTTAACAACATGCTCCTAAATAACCAATGGATCAATGACCAAATAAAAAGAGATCAAGCAATATATGGAAACAAATGACAACAATAATTCAACAACGCAAAATCTGTGGGACGCAGCGAAGGCGGTGCTAAGAGGGAAGTATATTGCAATACAGGCCTACCTCAGGAAAGAACAACAATCCCATATGAACAGTCTAAACTCACAATTAACTAAACTACAAAAAGAACAAATGAGGCCCAAAGTCAGTAGAAGGAGGGACATAATAAAGATTAGAGCAGAAATAAACAAAATAGAGAAGAATGAAACAATAGAATCAATAAAAGCAGGAGCTGGTTCTTTGAGAAAATAAAGAAAATAGATAAACCCCTAGCCAGACTTATCAAGAAAAAAAGAAAGTCTACGCACATGAACAGAATCAGAAATGAGAAAGGAAAAATCACTACTAACACCACTGAAATAAGATTATTAGAGAATACTATGAAAAATTATATAGTAAAACAAACAGGACAACCTAGAAGAAATGGTCAACTTTCTAGGAAAATGCAACCTTCCAAGGGTGACCCAGGAATAAACAAAATCTGAACAGACCAACGACCAGCAAGGAAACGGAACCGGTAATCCCAAAGGACAAGGACGACAAGAGCTTCAGGAAACTGTTAATGCAGGAGGCGCTGCCTCTGGCGGCCTCTCCCCCGCCGCCCTGCCGCGGGTCCCACCCGACCCTCGGCTCGCCCGGCCCTCGCCCCCGAGGCCGCCGCCGGAAAACTGCGCACAAGGCAAGACGCCCGCCGGCCTCCCCGTCTGCGCGGCCCGGCCCGGCCCCTCCGCCTGCGGCCCCGGCCCGGGCAGCGGTGCCAGGTCGACGGCGCGCCCCAGGCTGGGCCCCGCGAGTTCCCCACCCGGGTAGGCCGCCCCCTGGCCCCCCGAGCCCCGCTCACGGCCGCCCCTTCACCGGTCCGCTGCGCCCGCAGGCGGAGGCAGGGGTCCCCGCGGCCACGTACCTTCCGGCCCGCAGAGCCGTCGCTGTCGCCTTCACCCCTGAAACGGGGCCCGCTCTGGACGCTCCGCCGCAGGTCCGACGGCGCCAGGCTGAAGGAGGCACAGCTGGACGAGCGCAGGTCAGGCCAGGGCGGCGGCTCCAAGTCCGGGCGGATCGCCGCCCTCCGCCCGCCGCGGGAGAGCCGCGAAGCGGCGAGTGCGGCGCCGGGGGCCCAGCCGGCGCGAGGAGGCGATCCGAGGCCGGGGGGGCGAGGTCGGTGCCGCCGGAGCCTGCGCGCCGGAAGGAAGGCGCAAACGAGCAGAGCGAGGGTCCACCATCTGGGCTCCGCCGGCCGCGTTGCGCGGACGGAACGACGGGCCAGAGGCGCCGGGACTGGGCCGGCGGACGGCAGCACGGACACAGTTCAGCGAGCAGTTCCTCCCGACGGCGCTCGCGACGCTATTGACTCTTGAATATAGCTGCGCCTGCAGCTACTACGCAGCCGCCGGAGGTACGGGTTCTGCGCGCGCGCCCAATGGCCGCCTGCTTCGCGTCACCGCTCGTTCATTGGCCGCAACGACCGTCAGTCGGGGGCGGGCCTGCTCTGGAAGCTGCGCGCTCATTAGCCACGAGGGCTGTTAGGCGGGGGCTTTCATTTTTTTCAATGTTCTAGTTTTTCCTTAGATGACTCACGTGTTATTTTTATTTATTTATTTTTATTTTGGTGTCATTAATACACAATCACATGAGCAACAATGTGGCTACTAGATTCCCCCCGTTATCAAGTCTCCTCACTCACCCCATTACAGTCACTGTCCTTCCGCGTAGTGAGACGCTGTAGAGTCACTACGTCTTCCCCGTGTTGCACGGCCCTCCCCGCGCCCCCCTGCATTATGTGTGCTGATCCCGATGCCCCTCATTCCCCTTCTCCCTCCCCACCCACATTCCCCAGTCCCTTTCCATTTGGTAACGGTCAGTCCATGCTTGGGTTCTGTGAGTCTGCTGCTGTTTTGGTCCTTCAGTTTTTGCTTTGTTCTTATGCTCCACAGATGAGTGAAATCATTTGGTACTTGTCTTTCTCCGCCTGGCTTATTTCACTGAGCATCATACCCTCCAGCTCAGTCCATGTTGTTGCAAATGATAGGATTTGTTTTCTTCCTATGGCTGAATAATCTTCCATTGTGTATATGCACCACATCTTCTTTATCCATTCATCTACTGAGGGACACTTAGGTTGCTTCCATTTCTTGGCTATTGTAAATAACTCACCTGTTATTAAGTTATTTAATTTTCAAGGGATTGGGGATTTTCTACATATCTTTGTATTACTGATTTGTAATTTAATGCACTACGGTCAGAGAACAAACATATTTTGTATGATTTCAATTCTTTGAAATTTAGTTCAGTTTTGTGATCTATGTGATCAATATGTTATATGCTCCTGAAAATTCTGTTGTTGTGGAGTGGAATGTTCTATTAGTGTTAACTAGATCTAGTTGGTGGATACCATTCAGTTTTTCTGCATCTTTGCTGAGTTTTTTATCTACTTGTCCTATCAGTTACTGAGAAAAAAAGTGTTGACATATCCAAGTAGATTGATGGACTTGTCTGTGCTTTCCCTTTAGTTATATTAGTTTTTCTTTTCTTTCTGTTAGCATTTTGGGATGCTTTTAGTAGGTGCTTTAATATATCTTCTTGGTGACTTTATACTTTCATCATTATGTGTTTTCCTTTTTATCTCTGGTAATTTTCCTTGTTCTGAAGTCTACTTTGCCTGATATGATTTTATGATTTTAGCCCTCCAGCTTTCTTTTCATTAGTGTTTTATTAGTGGTTACATGATTTCTTTTTCCAGCCTTCAAAGTGGATTTCAGTATAGTTTTTCTTTTGCATTTATCTTATAATAGGTGAGGCTAAGCATCTTTTTCTGTATTTAAGGACCATGTATGTTTCTTTGTGTGAATTGACAGACTCACGTTGTTCACCTATTTCAAATTTTTCGTCTTTTGCTCCTTTATTTTTTAAAGAGTGTTTTATGTATGAGGAAGAGTAACCTTTTAGCTGTGTTAAATATCACAAATGTTTTCTCCCTGTTTGCCAGTTGTAATTTAACTTTCTTTAAGTTATGGATGTTTTATTTCCATGCTAAAATTTTTATTCATTTTTGTTCATTCTTGTTTATAATTCCTAGTTTCACTACATTGTGAGCAGAGAATGTTTGTACAGTTTCTTGTTTTTAGTTCAATAGTTAAACATTCTTAAAATATAATAGTATTTACACTAAGGAATGCCACATTGGCCCTTTTAGTTAATCACGAGGCTGCTTGGGCTGCAACTCGATGTTCTATCCTCCTTAGGAATGCTCTTTCTGGGGCTCCTTCTTATTACAGTCCTCACACGTCTGAATGTCTACGAGTTTCCATCACACCCTGGATGTTGCATAGAGTTTGGTTGGTGTCTTAGGTGGTCTACCTGCAAGGATAAGTTTGTTGGTCATTTACCGCTTAGACTCAGTAAGCCGCTCCTCACTCCCAGGCTTTCTAATTAAGCCCTGCTGATTGCAGACATGGGTTTATCTGTTTTCCCTCTGTTTTTCTTGAACTGTTGCAGCTTTTCTTACAATTGATGTTTTATAGAATAACATTAAAAACGATCCTTGCATTCTACCACTGATTCAGCTCCTGTTTGTTTTAATTGAATAAATTTTACTCCTAACATTGTATAAATTTAAGGTGCACAGCATGTTGCTTTGACGCATTGATACATTGTAATATGACTGCTGCAGTAGCAATATTTATCACATTACAAAATTATAGCACGATATTATTGTCTATGTTCATTACACTGTGCATTAGATCTCTATGGCTTACTTACTTCTTATTTCAATTTGTGCCCTTAAACAACATAAGTCTTAATCTCCTCCCCAATGACCAACCCTCTGGTAAGTACCATTTCAGTCTGTTTTTCATAGGTTTGATTTTTTTTTTTTTAGATTCCACATATCAGTGATATTATACAGTACTTGTCTTTCTTTGTCTGACTTTTCTGGCTTAGCATGTAATATTTATTCTTTATGGAACTTACAGATATTTTCTTTGTGCTTGATATATAATCCACTTTGTGAATTATCATTATACTTTAGAAGAAGTTGTATTTTGGAAAAGCTTAATATATAGCTGTAAGCTATGCCTTGTTGATTATGTTGTTTAGCTATTTTATACTTTGTTTGGTTCATTGGATATGTCTTGCTTCATGGTCTTATTGATACCCCTTTGCACTTCTTGTAATTACTGGGTATTGCATTATTTGATCCATGGATAGTCATAATGGAAATAGCTTCATTATGAACTGTGACTTGTAACTTGAAAAAGGGTAAACTTTTAAAGAAAAGCCTGTTTTACTTTCTTCCTCAAATGCTTTTCTGCACCCCTCCCACTTCACATGGATAATTACCACTTCTCTTTCCCTGTGGTGTCTATATGTCTTACCATTCCCGACTTCGTACACTTTAAGCTGTCCCTCTATTATAATTTCTCATGATGAATATGTAATTCATCATACCATTCTATGCATATTAAATTCCTACTATGTGCCAGCCATGATTTGAGGTACTGGGGAAGCGGCTGTTCCTGGAACACGGCAAATGCCCCCATTTTGATTGGTGCTTCCCTGAGTCCTTTCTTGTCTGACAGTCTTTCTCTGCCTTTCATTTTATTTTATTCTATTTAAAAAAATTCCAGGACTACTGTTGTAAGGATTAAAGGAAAAGCAAACTAATATTTTTTAAGTCAACAAAACCCTCCCTGTTGCTCATAATCATCTTCCAGGTTATTTCAGGTGAATGAAGTTGAAGGCACTCCCTTGGAATACGTGGCAGGAAGTCGCTCTGCACTCTCAAGTCCCAAAGGGCAGAGTTTCATATTTTACAGAAACTAGATCTCGAGAGCAGCTGGGCTATGGAGACACAGCCCAGAAGATTTCCCCCCATGGTTCCCAGATCTGGTGCCCTGCCATCCTGGGAGGACAGAGCTCTTGGAGTCAGTCCCACAAATGCATGGCAGGGGTGGGGGCCTCTCCCACAAGTCCTTGAAGCCTCACATCTCTCTCCCTGCTCCATGTCCACCAAGCCCAGGCTGTGAGAGGAGAGAGGCCCTTGAGGCCTGAGCTGTGACCGCAGAGGGTGAATGATGGCCACATCTCTAGCTGGACCTGCAAAGACCCCTATGATTTAACCAGGTGAACACAGTGGAAAGAAAGGGCTCTCCAGACACTGAGAACTGTATGACATGTTTTTAAATGCGATTTAAGACTTTCCAATTTTGACTGATGAAGAAGCCATCTGAATTAATGAAATTGTAGAACTACAGAAAAACTTTAAGACATTAAATATTTCACCATTAACATGTTTTTAAGTTAAGGGCCTTCATCAATGTTTATGGAATTAATGAATAGATAAAAATGTCTTCAATTAGTGAAACACACACATGAAAATGATATTTCAATAGGACATGATATGCCTTGTACTTCTTAACCGCATAAGCTTAAATCTACAATTCACTAAATATCTTCATAAACATAAAAAATAGCTGACAAGGGGAAATTTTTACCCAGCCTTTTAAGTTTCTGAATTATTATGGGCTTTCTCTCTTTTTCTCCCTAATTCTTAGGTTTTATATTTCACACACATTTGTGCTTTTCCCCCCTCCCCTGATACATACTGGAAGACAGAGGCCTATTTCCTTGGTCTCTGCTACTGGCCGGGGTTTCGTCACATAATCTGTGTACCTCATATTGAATCACTGAGCAAAGGAACTATGACATGCAGCTAAGTGTGTGCTTCTTAAAAATATATATATTGTTATTAAAATAACTATATTGCCCTGTTGTCTGGAGTGGGTGTGATGGTTTGAGGGTGAGGTTACAGGGTACAGGAAAATTCTCTCACTCTGGGGAGTCACTAGCTGAGCAACCTTGGAGAACTCAGTCTCCCTGAGCTACCGTTCTCTAATCTATAAAACCGGGGAAATAATAGTCTGTGTTTACAGTTTGTGAGTGTTAAAGTATGGCAATCATGTAAAACGCTTAGGCCCTTATGAGCCTGATCTGTGAAGCCGTAAGGTGCTGAAGCTTTATAAGCACCCAGAAGACAGGGTAGGGGACAGGAGGAGGGTGTTTCTGGAATACAAGGCTGCTCTGACCAGTCTGCTTGGTTGTCTCTGAGGAAGGATGTTCACATCTCGCCATCCAGAAGTCTTTCCTCAGGTATCTTCTTTCAACTACACTTTGTACATACCATTACCCCCTCTTGCATTACAGTGATTTTACAGAGATTTTCTCTCTTACTAGAATTATGTAACTCCTTAAAGACCAGAGATGATCTCAGCACATGTGTGCAGATGTGCCCATTCTGATTGTTTAGTCACACAGAATTCATGAGCTGGGTCCCTCCAGCCAGTAATGTAGTTAACCCCAGACCTTCCCGTCCAAAATCAAATTAACGTCACAGTTCCAGTGTGCAGAAGCAGTTTCCACCTCCTGAAACATTCTTCTGGGATGCATAAGACAGAAAATGGGCGCCCTGATACATTATTTCTTCTTAAAGACAGACTTAGGCAGGCTAGTAAGGCATTTGGATGTGCACGCATTCACTCAAAGTGCTACACTATGACTGCAAACCCAGTAATGGATTTTGACAACTCTTGGAATACATGAAAACTCCTTTCTCTTCCCCATTGTAGGACGTGGGTGCTTCCTTGCCCTCAGCTGGGAAGATCTAGAAAAAAGAGATGGTTGCAGTTTCTGAAAGGGAGTGGGACCGTCCTATCACTTCAGAATTGCTGGCCGGGGTGACTACAGTTGTTGGGAGATGATTACGTGGCCAGTTCTTATCTTCCGGATGGCTGAAAAATTAGAGGAGATCAATGTTTTGCAATAGTTGAGAAGAGTTTCTAAAGGGTTCTTATCATCTCATCTGTGAGGATTTGGGCAGCTGGAAAATATTTGGCCCAGGGAGGTTCTGTGATGTGTGTTTGGGGAGGGAAGTTGGAAGCATATCAGTTGCCACAAAGGTCTGGGAAGGAGGCTTTTCTATCAGAAGGGTCAGAACAGCTGGGAGGGTGGGAGTGCTGCAGCCACTCTGAGAGGAGGGAATGGCTCTTCTCACGGAGGGGGAATGTCAGGGTTGCAACAGCTGGGAAAGACACAGAATGGGAGTTTCCAAGAGGAAACTACAGATGGGGATGGGGCGGGGAGTGTGCCTTCGGTGCAGCTCAGCCTTCTGTGCCTGGCATTCGTTTTCAGCATTTGCAGTGATGCCAGCCATTCCTCTCCAGCGAGCTCCTGAGCACATTTCCCTGGCGGCCCTCTGAGAGCCCTCCTGGTCTTCCGCTCTCTCCAGGACTTGTGTACACCCATTGCCACTCGCCTCTTTCACCACGATCCTGCAGGACTAGTTCTGATTGTTAAAAAATATTAAAGCACCTATAAACAGCACTTACAGATGATGATACCCATATTAAAAATAATTACTAGAGGTGTAAATCAACAGGACTTCATGATTTGTGTTCCTGGAAAAGTTGTGCATGAATAGGGTTTTGGTCACTCAAATCACATTTAAATTGAATTAAATAAGAGTTTGTTATTTAATTCAAAAGGTGTATGGTATGTAATTAGTACTATGCTAGGTTAAAGCAAATAGTTCTTTAAAACACAAATAATCATCAGTCCTATTTAATATAATTTATAAGTTTGAATATTTTTTACCATTATTATTTTGAAATATAATGTAACTTGTGAGTAAAACAAGCATGATTAACTAGATCACCTACATAACCACCACTCAGCATATATCTGAACTATCAGAGGTTCCCATGACCCCTCTCTTTCCCAAACGTAATAATTATCCTCAATTACTCTGACATCTAACACCACTTAGTTTTCCCCATTTCTAAACTTTATACATATCTTATCAAATTGTATTTTTGTGTGTCTGGTTTCTTTTGATCCTAAGTGTGTTAGTGAGATTCATTATTATTATATTTATCTGCAGTTCACACATTTTCATGACTGAATAACATAAATTCCAAAATTAAACTCATCTGTTTTACTGTTTTGGACATTTAGATCATTTCCAGTTTAGAGCTCTTACAAAACTGCTGTTGCATGCATGGGTACAGGCAGAGAAATGCATGGTGCACACACGTAGACCTGTGAGCCGAAGTCATTCCCAAGACAAAGCATTTAATAGTTGGCCCATGACTCTCTACACTCTCTTTCCTGGAAACCGTGTGTCTCAGTTGCGTAGTTATAACATGCAAGCACACTGGATCTCTGAGTCACCCCTTGGAAAGGAGCTGCCTTGTAGAGCACTAGATCTGCAGTGGATTTTGCATGACCAAAAAATTAACTACTATTTCTAGACATTAAGATTCTGAGTTTATTCATTACTGCAACACAGTCTAGCTTAATCTGACCAGTAAACCAATGGAAACACTTATTTTCAGTGATATTTTCTACAATCACAATTAATAATTGAGTTTCACATTGGAAAATTTCATCATGCTGATGGAAGCTTTTCATTCATTCATTCTGATTAACACCAGGGAGATGACAGGTGACAAAAGGACATCTGGAGACAGGGGCACTAGTATCAACATGTTGGACCATGTCCATGACCCCTTCCCACAATGCTAGCTGATGGAAGAGTGCAGGAGTTTGTGATTACCAACAAGGACCACTGCTGGACCAAGCAGTGGTTTTGATGACATTTACGTGATTTCCCCAAGATTATTTTTCTCGTCAATTTTTTTCCTAGGATGGCATCCCCAGAGGAAAAAAGAAACTAAGTAAGGGTATGGTCAGGGTGCAGTCAAGAAAAGAGCCAGTCCAAGGTAACGGGTAAGGAAGGGGAGTTTTCAGGCATTCAGGAGTTGCTGGAGGAGAAATAGCCACCAAACTTGTCCACCTGAAGCTGGTGTGAGTTACCAGCTGAACCTTGCAAGAAAGCCCAGTAGCCACGCAGGTGTGACCACCAGGTGGGCTATGAGAGGGGAGCTCAAAGTGTGGAGGGTGGGATCTGCAGCCTCTGCGGGTGCCAGGATGGGGCGGGCTGGGGCTACTGTGAGCATGCCGAGGCAGGCATGGAGCCGGAGCAGAGTGAAGGCATGCTGGGCTCCTCTGTGTCTGTCTGCTGTCCTATTTGGCCATATGGCCCCCCTTTACCTCCCCTTAGCCTTCCCGATCCCAAGGAAGCTCCTCTCATTGGATGCCTCTAGGCTGGAACCCCACAGAGAAGGATGTTTTGGCCTCAGATTTAAGCAACCGTGCCCTCCTGGCCATAGACAGTCCAGCCTAGAGGCTTCAGTTTATGAGAAGTAATTTGCTAACTGATGGTCTCTTACAGGGCTTTTAAATACTAAAACATTGCTGAAGGAAGGAAACAAGATTAATGTGCCCAAGGTAAGAGGGTTATGGCTTAAAGAAAGAATGAACACAATTTAGCTACAAGATCAGCTAACATAAAAAGATCCAGAAACCATACACTTCTGATTTGGTTCTCTGCTGTTATTTATTTATGGAAGATGGGCAAATAGTGAAAAGTTATAAATGGTAGACCACTAGCTTGATAGTGAATTTGACAACAGACATTATACCCTGGTAAGGAATGTATTAATCAAAAAGTTATTGTCGCTTATTCTTGAAAATGTCAAGAGATAGGAAAGTGTAAAGTAATGATGGAAACTCTATTAAGACAGTTTTTACATTATTAATAAAAGGTATACATTTGCTATAAATTGTAAATTTGAAAATTTAGAAACTCTTTGCTCGTGAAACAGGTAAATGAACGTTATGAGAAAAGTACTAGAAAATGTTCTGGGAATAAAGAGTTTGGTGAAACAAGGATCCTGTCTTTTAAGAGATTAAGAGCCAGTGTCAGGTTATTTCAACAGACAAGAGTTATGATAGGGATAAGTACATCAACGTAAGGGGGTCAGGAAACACTTCCTGGAGGAGGAGGTGACATCTAAGTTGAAGCCAGCATGAGAAGCAGGAACACATCAGAGGGGAGAGCCATGAAGCCCTGGGGAAGAGAGAACAAACATGTCAGGGCTGTGTTGGACTGTGAGCACTGGGAGGCCTGGAGAAGGGGCTGCGGTTGGGTGGGAGCGTGCTCACAGCTGGGATGGCAGACCACATAGGGACCAGATCTTGAGCGTGGAAATTCTGCACCCAGACAAGTGCCACCATTTCCCCAATTTACCAGACCAAAGACACAGCAAAGACATTACAGCAATTGCACAGTCCTGGTGGAATGCAAATGGGAGTACGTGAGGGGACATGCATTTGTGAAAGAGAACAAAGAAATCTGTTCAAGCATTCTAAGAATATCTCCTAAAATCATATAAAACAGTGACAGGAACCTACTACTTGCCCCCCACAATTCCAAGTGTGGGGCATAGGAATGAACAAAATAAAACTCCCTGGCCTCATGGGGCCTGTAAGGGAAGCCAAGCTGTACAAATAAACAAGAAAATATGTGGTGCAATTTGGAGCCACACACTTCAAGGGGCCTCTTACACTCCCCGACCTCCCTGGGCATCCTGCTGTTCCAGGCCATCCTTTTATTTCTGGACCTGAGATGTCACATGGTGCACCACGGGGTCCGCCTTCCTGCATTACCTGGAGAGGGCTGTTAGAAACGGGGGAGAATTAGTGCTGGGTATTTTAGGTAAGGCTACAAGGAGCTGATTAAGTTGAATCTAGAAAGATGGGCCAAATGAGTGGGGATGGGACAATATTTGATATAAAAGAGCATAAAAAAGGGAATAAAACTAAATAGCTTCTGCACAGAAAAGGAAACCGTCAACAAAACGAATAGGCAACCTGCTGTATGAGAGAAAATAATTGCAAATCATAAGAGGTAATGACTGAAATATATAAAGAACTCATACAACTCAATGGCAGGAAGCACAAATAATCTGATTAAAAATTGGGCAGAAGATCTGAATAGACATTTTTCCAAAGAAGACATACAGACGACCAACACATGTGAAAAGATGCTCCACATCACTAATCTTCAGGGAAATGCAAACCAAAACCACAACAAGATATCACCTTGTACCAGTCAGAATGGCTAATATTAACAAAACATGAAAGAACACATTTTGGTGAGAATGTGGAGAAAAGGGTACTTTTTGGGATACTGCTGTGGGAATGTAAATTGGTGCAGCCACTATGGAAAGCAGTATGGACCGTTTCTCAAAAAACTAAAACTAGAAATACCATATAAGCCATCACTTTCACTTCTGGGTATTCATCTGAAGAAAAGGAAAACACGAATTCAGAAAGCTATCCTGCCCTCCCCCTCCCCCCCCACCATGTTTATCACAGTATTATTTATAATAGCCAAGATACGGAAACAACCCAAGCGGCCACTGATGGAGGAGTGGATAATGAAATTGTGGATATACACTGGAATATCATTTGGACATAAAAAAGAATGAACTCTTCCCATTTGTGACAACATGGACGGGCCTTGAAGGCCCTCATTAAGCTAAATGAGATAAGTCAGACACAGATAGACAAACACCATATGCTCTCACCTATATGTGGAATCTAAAACAAAAGCCAAGAAAAACTCCACCAAACTTATAGATACAGAGAACAGATTAGTGGTTATAAGAGGTGGGGGTTGTTAGGGAGTGGGAGAAATGGGTGAACTTAAAAAAATTCTTTTAGTTTAAATAAATTGAATAACATTTTAAAAAATGGGAGTAAAGCAGGAGTCAGAGACTCTAGAATACAAAAACTAACATATGGCCAGATGTA